GGAGGAGGGGGAGGGGGAGGAGGGGGAGGAAGAGGAGGGGGAGGAGGAGGAAGGGGAGGAGGAGGAGGAGGAAGGGGAGGAGGAGGAGGAGGAAGGGGAGGAGGAGGAGGAGGAGGGGGAGGAGGAGGAGGGGGAGGAAGAGGAGGAGGAGGAGAGGAGGAGGAGGAGGAGGAGGGAGGGGACGGAGGAGGAGGATGAAGAGGAGGAGAAGGAAGAGGAGGGAGGGGACGGAGGAGGAGGAGAAGGATGAAGAGGAGGAGGAGGAGGAGGAGGAAGAGGAGGAGGGAGGGGACGAAGGAGAAGGAGGAGGAGGAGGAGGAGGGAGGGGATGGAGGAGGAGGGGGAGGAGGAGGAGGAGGAGGAAGAGGAGGAGGAGGGGGAGGAGAAGGAGGAGGGGGGGAGGAGGAGGAGGAGGGAGGGGACGAAGGAGGAGGAGGAGAGGAGGAGGAGGAGGAGGGGGGAGGGGACGGAGGAGAAGGAGGAGGAGGAGGAAGAGGAGGAGGGGGGGAGGAGGAGGAGGGGGGAGGAGGAGGAGGAGGAGGAGGGGGGAGGGGAGGGAGGAGGAGGAGGAGGAGGAGGGAGGGGAGGGAGGGGACGGAGGAGGAGGAGGAGGAGGGAGGGGACGGAGGAGGAGGAGGAGGAGGAGGAGGAGGAGCAGGAGGAGGAGGGAGGGGACGGAGCACCGCAGCCACAGGAGGGATCCCGGGCAGGGGATGTGGGAGGAAGTGGCCGGCGGAAGGGATGGCTGTCCCGTCAGGAAGGGGGTCTGTTTTCCCAGCGAGCGCGGAGGTCGACGTGGGCATCCCCGTCCTGGAGAAATGGTTTAAACGGACCCGACTCAGCGCCAGACTCCAGGGGGCGGGCTTTTCTTCTTAAATATATTTTATTGCCTTTTTACAGGGGGGGAGGGAGAGGGAGAGAGTCAGAAACATCCATGATGAGAGAGAAGCATCGATCAGCCGCCTCCCGCACGCCCCCCACTGGGGATGTGCCCGCAAGCCAGGTCCATGCCCTTGACAGGAAATCGAACCCAGGACCCTTCAGATCTCCGGTTTCGGCGATCTTTTATTGATCCAGAGAGGGAGAGAGAGAAACGTCCGTGATGAGGGAGAATCACGGATCGGCTGCCTCCTGCACGCCCCCCACGGGGGATGGAGCCCCCAACCCGGGCCTGGGACCCTGACCAGGAATCGAACCCTGACCTCCTGGCTCCTAGGTGGACGCTCACCCCTGAGCCACCCGGCCGGGCGGTGGTCGAGTCTCCTTCACGGTTGGGATGAAGCTCTGGCTTCTCCCAGGGCCGGTAGGAACTGCCTCGAACCCCGCACCCCGGCGGGCCCCGGGAACCCGCGGACAGCCCCGGCGCCCGCCCGCACCCCGAGGCCGCCGCCGTAAATGACCGTAAAGGCCTAACGGGCCTCCGAGGCCCGGCATCGATCGCGTGTCAGGGATGAAATATGGGCTGTCAGCTCCGCCGCCTCTCGCCGGAGACACAGGCCGGTGACGGAGCCCCTGCCCCGCGCCGGGTGCGACCCTGTGGCGCGGGGGCCGTGGACGGGACGTGGGCTCGGGCCCCGGGAGCCGGGCAGCGCCCCCCACTCCCCCGCCGCCCGAGGGTCGTGGCCCTGCAGGCGGGTCCCGTTGGCGAGGGCACAGGGGCGCCTCGGGGAGCCAGTCCTGCGAAAGCCTCTCCGGGTCAGTCTTCGGCAGAGGGTCTCAGTTCTGAATGGGAAAGTCCAGGCCTGGCCAGTGTGGCCCGGTGGGTAGCGCGCCGGGCTGCGGCCGGAAGGATCCGGGGTTTGGTTCTCGGCCAAAGGCAGGAGCCCGAGTTGTGGGCCTGCCACCCGGGCGCATGACCTGACCGGGAATCGAACCCTGGCCGCCTGGTCCACAGGTCGAGGCTCAGCCGCTGTGGAGGTGCCAGGCCCGTCTTCCCTGGAGTCAGAGGACGGAGAGACAGTAACGGGGGGCGGGGGGGGGGGGGACGGACACACATCAGAGACTCACACCCAGTGCACGGAGCTCGGTCTTGAACGTCTGTTTTCATTTATTTATTTTTATTTATTTGTTTTTTAAATACATTTTATTGGTTTTTTTACAGAGAGGAAGGGAGAGGGAGAGATAGAAACATCGATGAGAGAGAAACATCCACCAGCTGCCTCCTGCACGCCCCCCACTGGGGATGCGCCTGCAACCGAGGTCCATGCCCTTGACCGGAATCGAACCCGGGACCTTTCAGTCCGCAGGCCGGCGCTCTATCCACTGAGCCACACCGGTTTCGGCAAATGTCTGTGTTTATTGATACGAGAGGGGATACAGCGCTCCACGCGATCACGGGGTCCCTCCGTCTGTGCCTCGGGGGCGTTGGCAGAGGGAAGGTTCTCTCGAAGGGAGTCCGTGCGTCGTGCCCCCACGGCCCGGCACACGGGGGGGGGGGGGGGCAGGCCTTGCGGTGATTCGTGGAACACAGTCACTGTCGAGGGGAAGGCATCGCAGAGGAGGGACGTTTTGGCTAAAATAAATATGGCGTCCGCGTGAACAGCCACGCCCAGGCACATCGGTACGGACAGGAACCGGGGAGGGAGGGGGGGACACGTGGGGAGCGAGGGGCACCCCTGAATTCACACGCATCGCACATGGGGGACCCCCTCCGCCGCCACCCCGCCCTCGGCACACACATCGGCATCACCCACACCGTCCACGTCACCCACACCGTCCACGTCATCCACACCGTCCACGTCATCCACACCGTCCACGTCACAACACCCAGACCATCCACGTCACCCACGTCACCCGCACCGTCCACATCACCCATGTCACCCGCACCATCCACATCACCCACACCGTCCACGTCACCCGCACCGTCCACATCACAGCATCCACGCCGTCCACGTCACCCACACCGTCCACGTCACCCACACCGTCCACGTCATCCACACCGTCCACGTCACAACACCCAGACCATCCACGTCACCCACACCGTCCACGTCACCCACGTCACCCGCACTGTCCACATCACCCACACTGTCGTCACCCACACCGTCCACGTCACCCACACCGTCCACGTCACCCACACCGTCCACGTCACAACACCCAGACCATCCACGTCACCCACACCGTCCACGTCACCCACGTCACCCCAGCACCCAGGGTCCCGGGTCTCCCTCGGGCTTAGGACCAGGGGCGCCGTCCCTTTCCTGCTCCTCCAACCGAGTCAAATGCCTGGGCAGATCCGTGCGCAGCTCAGAGACGGACGTGGAGAGCGACGGCATCGGACGGGCGGCTGTGACGCCCAAACCCGATGGCCTTCTCGATCCTTCGGCCACGATCCCGCTGGAAACCAAACCCCGGTTTCCACGCGGCGGTCTCCCCGGGAGCGACACGGGCGCGAGGGGAAGGCTCCTCGTGTGGGAATGACCGTGGGTTCCCTGACCGTCCGCCGCCCCCCCGGCCCTCCCCTCCCCGCCAGGTCCTCCCCGCTCACACCCCGCCCAGGGCTGCGGGCGCCGTGCGGGGCGGCCGGGGCGTTTGGAATCGGGTTTTGGAGACGGCACAGGAGGGGGGGGCCGGGTTCCCGGCGAAGGACACGTCTCGCCAACCCTGCCGCCATCGAGTGGGCACCGGCCCCTGGGCGGCAGCCCGCCCTCCCGGGCCGGGGGCCAGTCTGTGGGCGCCCAGGCCTCTCCCCGGATCGGCCGCCTGCTGAGGGGGCAGGAGGACGGAACCCGAGGCCACGGAAAGGTCGTAGCAACGTCGCAGGGGGCACCAGTGTCCCTTGGCGGGGACGGCCGCTCTGGTCCCCGCTCCCACGGCCCGCACAGCACCCACGAGACTGCCCACGCCCACGTCCACGTCCTCGCCCTCCTCACGCCCGGAGGCAGCGGTGCCCGGAGCTCCGCCACAGAGATGTCCGCCTCCCAAACCCGTCCCCGCCGCTCTCCTTCCTTCACGCACATGCTGTTTGCACACACCTCCACACCTCCCTGCCCTCCGACCACACACACACACACCCTTACACGCACACACATACACCCTTACACACACACCCCTACACATGCACACCTACACACACACACACAGACACACACACACACACATGCACACCCCTACACACGCACACCCCTACACACGCATACCTACACACACACACACACACACACACACGGGCCGGCTGGGCCAGGCTGTGGGGGAGGACCGGGGGAGCCGCGGTCGGACATAAATAAAGGAGCTGGAGCCACGGAGGGAGCTGCCGGGGACGGACGCGGCGCCCGTGAACCCGGAGGAAAGGCCTGGGCGCGCTCCGGAGCGGCGGGGTAAAGGGACGAAGACAGCACTGCGGCTACGTAAGGATATTTCCCAATGTACAGCGATGGCAGGAGCACAGAGCCTCCGGCGGCCCTCGGTTCTGCCGGCCAGCCAGCCCGACCGCTCCCCAGCGGCTCGGACAGACCAGACGAGGCGGGGACTGCGGCGTCCCCCGTTTGTCCCGGGGCTCTCCGTTCGTCCCCCGTTTGTCCCGCGCCCTCCCGTCTCAGAGGTGCCTCTGACGCGCACGCCAGGAACCGTCGGTGTTTCTCAGCAGCCGAAGTCCACGTTTCTCTTACCCGTCACACTGCAAAGCCCCAGCGCCGAGGACGAAACGCACAGTCCGGCCTCTGAAGGGGAACGGCCCCGAGTCCACGTCGGCGGCCACGTCGGGGCCACGTCGGGGCCGTGGCTGAGGCCCGTGGCCCGGGCGCCGCGGCGCTTGGTGCGGAGCGTTGGTCCCAACGCCGCTCCTCGGGGGGCCGCTCCGTGGGGCCACGGTCGTCGGCCACGAGGACGGCCTGCCCGTGTCCTCTCCCCTCGGGCACCTGTTGCTCCGGGTCCCGGTTGGGCGAGAAGGCGGCTGGCGTGGACGGACGCAGCTGATCTGAGGGCGGGGAAGGGTCCAGCGCGGAGCTCGGAGGAGCCGCTCGCCCCGGACGGCGCCGGAGGGCCGGCTGAGGGACGCTGGGCGCTCAGCTGCTTGAGGTGCACGCGTGCATCCTCTTGGCCACGTCGTACACGTAGGCGATGTCCGGCCGCTTCTCGGGGTCGGGGTTGATGCACATGTTCACCAGCTGCCGGAGCTGCGGGGACAGAGGCGACACTGAGAACCGGCCGCTCAGGGACGGCCGGGCCGCGAGGCTGGACGCGGAGGGAGGAGGCGCGTGTTCTGGCTCCTCTGACCGACACACGTGCCTCGTGGGAAGACCTCCCCACCCGCGGACGGCCCGGGGAGTCCTCCCGGTGAGCAGCCGTGCGAGGTGCCTGGAGGACGTCCGCTGAGCCAGATGTCGGACAGAGGGAGTGGAGAAGCGTGTGGCTCCCTCAGAGGAGGACACAGAACTGAAAACTATAACTGAACGAAGAAGAACAAGCGAAAGCTCAGGCACAGACGGCAGTGTGCCGGCTACGGGGGAGCAGCAGAGGGTGAAGGGGGCCGGGTCACTGGTGACAGGAGGAGGCCTGACGGGGTGGTCACACAGTGCACAGGCAGATGGCGTGCCACGGCCGCACACCGGAAACTAGTGGCCTTACTGACCAGCGTCACCCCAACACGCTTCGTTTTAAAAGGAGGCCTTGTCTCCAGCGCAGCCAGAGCCTTCTGCCTGTACGTGTGGCTTTAGGACTAAATAGATTTTTCGAAAACCTGCATTAACTCTCTCTGGTCAGCGTGTCAGCACTTGTGCAGTCACCAAGTCACCATGACCTCGTCACCGTCACCGCGTCTCCCTCTGAGGGGCGCTCTGATGCCCACGGATGCCCCAGCACGGAGCAGAGGGCAGCTAGCACCCCCACCTTTTCTCCACGCCCCCCCCGATGGCCAGCAGTGACCTCCGGGCCCTTCCACGGGCGGGCGGCCTGCACCCCGCTATCTGCCCTCGGCCGACCTCACACTCGGCGGCCAGAGCGCCCGCAGGCAGGCGGCCCCCTTCCCCGGCTCCATCGTTAAAATCCTGCCGAGGTCACCATGGCAACCACCGCTGCGCGTGTGAGATGCAAACGCGGCGCGGAATGAGCGGGCGGCGGAATATTCATGCCGCCGGGAGGGAGGCCGGGAGCCGGGAGGGAGGCCGGGAGCCGGGAGGGAGGCCGGGAGCCGGGAGGGAGGCTGGGAGCGACACAACCAAGGGCGGCGGCCGCGGCTCCGTCTGCGCAGCGGACGCCGTTCCATCGCCCAGCAGCCTGAGCGGCCCACAGGGAAATGCCCGGCCCCACGCGTGTTCACGCCACTGACCCGCACGCCAGCGCCGCGGACACGGGCAGGCGGCCGGCGGCTCCATCGACGCCCAGAGAGAGGCCTGGGGGTTCGCCGTCCGAGCACGCGGCTCAGGAGCAGGATGGGTCCCACGTGCGGACGGAACACATCTACCCCGTCCATCCACCATCACAGGGAAACTGAGGCAGGAGCCGCCGGGCATGAGCGGGAGGAGGGCCACCTGCACTGCAGCCCCGAGCGTGGGAGGGGAGGCCTCAGCCGGCGCGGGCGGGCGGGCAGAGTGGCGGGTGGACGGACGGACGGACGCCGCGAGGGCTGGCACTCACCTCCTCCGAGTAGTGGTCGGAGGGCAGCGGCGGGTAGTCGCACTGCTCGATCTTCTTGCACAGCGAGTACAGGTTCATCTTGTCGCCGTAGAAGGGGCTCTGCAGGGCGGCCATCTGCAAAGGCCGGGAAGCCAGGTGGTCAGGGCGCCTCCCGGGGCCCCGCCTTCCCCGGGGCCGGGCGCGGGGACAGACCCTGCCGGCTCTTCTCTGGGAGCCTCCAGAGACTTTACTGCGGTTTGCGGGGGTTCGTTTTCCACATTTAAAATCCGCCAAAAGGGAGAAACGGTTATCGTGTGTGTATTTATGTACAACACGACACTGAGAAAAAGGACATAAATTAGTCGATATTCGTTGTAACTAGTTGCCATCAAAGCAACTAGTATCACCTCCTGACTAACCAGATGGTCTACACGGAGTGGCCAGACGATGATGACCTCTGAACACAGTCTATGTACATGAGTCCGTGCATGGATGGGTCCGGCTGCCTGGACAGGGGGAGGGGACGTGGGAGGGCGGCCGGCCTGCCTGCTGGTCGCACTCCTGGTTGAGGGAACCGTTTGCATATTGGCCTTTTAGTTTACAGGATGTACACCGAGTGGCCAGAATATTATGCGTTCAGGGATCATCATCCGGCTGCTCGGTGTACATCCGACACGGAGCGGCCGGGACAGAGCAGACACAGGCCGTGGCTGACGCTGACCTGGCCCAGCAGTGCTCAGGGAGGAGGGGGGCTCGGCTCTCCATCACCGTCTGGGGGGAAGGGGCCCCACCGCGTCCAGACCCGGCCCTCGGTCTGCAGTGACCTGGGACTCTTCCCGTCGGAAGCGTCTCAGAGCCACCGAAGGCCACGCCTCAGCCACCGCACCACGGCCGGCGGAGGTTTTATTCAGGGGAAAAAGACTAAGGAATGAACACTCTTAAAAAGACGTCACTGAATTCAAATCGGTGTCACGTGCAACGAGGACGCGTGCGCAGGCTACAACTCAGACTCGGGTTCGAATGTTCGCGTCCCGTTTGCGCGGGCGGCTCGGGCGCAGCAGCGAGGATGCGGGCACCGGGGCTGCCCGAGCCAGTCACCCCTTCCCGCCCGCGCTAATCCGGGCGCGGGGACGTGTACACGGGACATGTGTACGCGGGGACATGTGTACGTGGGACATGTGTACGCGGGGACATGTGTACGCGGGGACATGTGTACACGCCGCCGGCGGGCCCGTGTAAGACCCGCTCCTCAGCGCGGGGGACGCCAGGCCGAATGCTCACTGTCTGCGCCGCCGGCGTTAACCCCTTCGGTGCCGCAGGCGGGAGGCCCGGCCCACACCTCACATCAGATCCCTCCGTCCTGCAGACACCCCGGAGCCGCCCCCAGGGGGGGAGGGGGAGAGGGGAGAGGGGAACCTCAATGTCCCGTCCCCAACCACGGAGAACATGGGGGGACGTTTCTAAAAGGGGCTCCAATCATCATCGCTGTTTTTGTGTTCGAACCGCAAGGAGGGCCTTAGCCGGTGTGGCTCAGTGGACAGAGCGTCGGCCTGCAGACTGAAGGGTCCCAGGTTCGATTCCCGGTCAGGGCACAGGCCTGGGTTGCGGGCTGGATCCCCGGCGGAGTGCGGTGCAGGAGGCGGCCGATCCACGATTCTCTCTCATCACTCGTGTCTCTCTCTCCTCCCTTCCCTCTGAGATGGATAAAAAAGATGCTCAAAATAAACTCCAGGATGCCGCCTGGTGAACAGGACACGGCATACCGGGCTGCGCATGCACAGGGTCCTGTCCATCGGCCGTCCGTGGGCCGGGGACGGGCCCGGCCCCCACGCCCGCGCCGGGGGCTCCTCCTTGCAGGCCGCAGCGGGCCCTCGGGGGTTAACGGCCGGCGCTCAGCATCCGCTGCTCTGACAGATGAGAAATGTCAACCGTCCTGTTTTTATTTTCCAGCCGGTGCTCCATTCATCTGGCTCATTAGTGCGCCCGGCGGGCCTGACAGCTGCGCCGCTCCTCCCGGCGGCGGCGGCTCCGGCTAATTTGATCCTCCGCCGCCGGCCGCGGGCTGATTGACGCGCCCCCTGACCCCGGGCCGGCGCCCCCATCAGTATGCCGGGGGCGTCGGGGCCGGCCGCCTCCCTCCGCCCGCGGACAACGCGGCCGTGTAAGACGCCTGTTCCGCGCAAAGGGCCCTGCCGCCGCGGCGCTGGCTTTTAATCAGCGTCTGCTCGGTGCATGGCAGTTAGGACGGCGCTGCAGGGGCGTGGGCGCGTTTATTTATTTGAGGCCTCGGGAACATCGGAGAGTCTGATGTTCCGAGTTTCAGGTGCTCTGCGGGGCATCCTGGGGGGACCCCGGGGGAAAGGCCGTGTCACCCCCTTCCTAACTGGGAGCAGATGCAACAGAACGTGCAGGAACTCGGGAAGAATTCCAGCTCCCCGATGACCCGCTCGCAGAAACTGAGCAAATGCACCGACGTGGAAGCTAAGGACCGCAGGACACACCCCTCACTCCAAATCGCCCACAGCCGGGAGCCAGGGGCGGAGGAGAGGCCACCAAAGTCACTGTCCGTGGGGACAGGAGGCAGGCCAGCGGGGAACACCCGCCCGGGCCGAGAGGACCCACCTCGCACAGCAGGCAGCCCAGCGCCCAGCGCCTGGACCCAGGGGAGCCCTGTGGGCACAGGGTGCAGGCCCCAGCGGAGAGGTGGGCACAGGGTGCAGGCCCCGGCGGAGAGGTGGGCACAGGGTGCAGGCCCCGGCGGAGAGGTGGGCACAGGGTGCAGGCTGGGTGGAGAGGTGGGCACAGGGTGCAGGCCCCGGCGGAGAGGTGGGCACAGGGTGCAGGCCCCGGCGGAGAGGTGGGCACAGGGTGCAGGCTGGGCGGAGAGGTGGGTGCAGGCTGGGCGGAGAGGTGGGCACAGGGGTGCAGGCCCCGGCGGAGAGGTGGGCACAGGGTGCAGGCCGGGCGGAGAGGACCCACCTCGTACAGCAGGCAGCCCAGCGCCCAGCGCCCCGGACCCAGGGGAGCCCCGTGGGCACAGGGTGCAAGCCCTGGCGGAGAGGTGGGCACAGGGTGCAGGCCCCGGCGGAGAGGTGGGCACAGGGTGCAGGCCCCGGCGGAGAGGTGGGCACAGGGTGCAGGCCGGGCGGAGAGGACTCACCTCGTACAGCAGGCAGCCCAGGGACCAGATGTCCGACTTGAAGTTGTAGCCGTTCTCGTGGATCCGCTCGGGAGACATGTAGTACGGGGTGCCCACTGCAAAACACGGGTCCCTGTCAGCGGAGGTCTCCATGGCGACACTGCCTCAGTGGCTGCCGGGCTGCGAGGGCAGGGGGCGGGGTGGGGCGGGGTCCCCCTCGGACCGGGGCCTCACCCAGGGAGTGCGCGGCCGTGGTCTTGGAGCTGAAGAAGCGGCCGAGGCCCAGGTCCCCGAGCTTGACCGCGCCCATGGCCGTGATGAACACGTTGGCCGGCTTGATGTCTGCGGACAGAGGCGGGAGGTGATCCTGGTGCGCTCTAGAGTGCCCCCAGCGGTCAGGCTGTCTGCACCCTGCGCTGACCGCCGCACTCCGAGGGTTTCGCACATCCTCACGTGTCTGTGTCCGCATCCTCGGAGGCCATGATAATCAAGGCAGCATGACTCGGGACACGAGTCATTTTCATCGAAAACACATTTCCCCCTCTTCGCATAAACGCTTTGAAATACAAAGCGTACCTGAGTGTGTCCCTTCACGTAGATTTTAAATAAATAGAATGTCGGGCTGCTTACTGACATATTGACGTAGAGCATGGACCACAGCTCTGTGCACAGGGCTCGCGAAGGGCCCTCGGGAACCTTAGCTCAGATGCGGGTCTGACACTGCCACGCCCCAGCCCGGCGGCGGTTCTCCCGTGTGGGGCCTCCACGTTCCTGGCTGCCGGCTGGGACGCCGGGAGCCGCACTGTGAGCCCTGAGCGGCCATCAGTCTCGGGACATCGGGGAGACCCCTCCCTCTCTATGGGGCGCCCCTGCACCTGCCTGTTCCCTTCCCCACCCGGCGGAGAAGCCCAGGAGGGCGCAGCACAGGCCCAGCCCCCCTCGGCTCCCTGCGCGCCGTCCCCGGGAGCCGGGGGCGGGCAGCCCGGTGCCGGCGGCGCCCACCTCGGTGCATGACGCGGCGGGAGTGCATGTGCTCCATGGCGCCGCACAGCTGCACAAAGTACTTCCACACGGTGCGCTCCGGAATCAGCCGCTTCTGCTTCTTAAAGTGCTGGGGGGGGGGGGAGATAGTGAGTCCGGGGGAGGCGAGTCCCCGCTCCTCCCCTCCCGCCGCCGCCCCCGGTGCCGGCCCGGCGTGGGGCTCAGACCGCGGGGCCGGGGCTCCTGCGTATCAGGTGCAGGTGTAACCCGACTCCGGGCCCCTCTGGGTGACCCAGGCCAACGGCAGCCTCAAGGGCAGACGCGCGGGCCCCTGGCCGCGCTCCGGACCCGCCCGCCGCCCGCCTGACGGGGCCGCCAGACCGGGGAGGGCCCGGGGAGCCAGGGCGGAGGACGCGACAGATGGCTCTGCTGGGAGCGCTCACTGCTCTCGGGAGAGACGCCGAGCAGAGACGTGACTGTGGCGTGAGGGCGCCGCACGGGAAGGCCACAGGTTCACCCGGGAGGGTGTCTGCGCCTCCCCCTTCTCCCCCAGAGCTGCAGGCGCTTTGGCTAACCCCCAAAGTCTGTGACGGAGTCTCCGCCCTCACCGATCCCGGGGTCAGGTCCCCTCCCGTGACGTCCTCTCTCACAACAGAGGGGCAGCTGCCGAGGGCTGGCCCTGAGGAGTGAGTGACGGGCCCGTGGCCCGGCCAGCGCACACACGGGAACCACAGCGCACACGGCCCCGGATGCGCACGGCGGGGCCTGTGCCCATGTCCGCCTGCCCGTGACGGCCGGTGACAAAGGACCAGGCGAGGGGACAGCGGCTTCCTTTCCTCTGAGCCCCGTCGGGAGCCGCCCCGGCCCTGCCCCGGGTCCTCCGAGCCCCAATTAGAGGCACACGGAGCGCCAGCTGCTCACGCCGCCGCCGCCGCCGCCGCCGCCGCCGCTCCGCGTTAATTATTCATCGCGGAGCTTTGATGCTCGGATCAGCCCGGGAGCGATATTTCCTCTCCCCCATTAGGCGCCGGAGAACGGCCGGGCCGCCGACGGGTGATTTACGCTCCGCAGCGGCGTCCCTCCGCCGGCGCCCGCAGCCCCCATAAAGCACTGTCACCGCCATCGGAGCAGCACCGCGGGCGCGGGCTCAGGAGCACCGGGGGCTCAGGAGCACTGAGGGCTCAGGAGCACTGGGGGGCGGGCACGGGCTCAGGAGCACTGGGCGCTCAGGAGCACTGGGGGCTCAGGAGCACTCGGGGGCGTCTCAGGCCGAGAGGCAGCCTCCTCCCCCCTCCGCCAGCGCCCGTGGGGGCAGAGCGTGGATCAGCAGGACACGGCATGTCCCACTGCCACGTGGTCAGCCCGGGCCTCTGGACCAGTGCCCACGGGCGTGAAACAGGCGCCTTGCACACACACCCGCCACCAGCCGGCCGGCCCACGCGGCCTGCATCCCGCAGGCACCCCGGTCAGTGTGAGGCGCCTGCTGTGCCGTGTGCCCACCGGACAGCCGAGCGGTGAGAGCAGCCTCACCTTTATCATCCTGGACAGGTCGCCGGCATCGGCTAACTCCAGAACGATGTTCAGTTCGTTGTCTTCAATGAAGGACGCGTAATATTTGATCACGTTCGGGTGGTTGAGTTGCTGCGGAGAGAAAACAGGCAAGAAAACATCCTCTTCTTAAACATTCCCAGTAGTTTGGTAGCTTAAGAATTCAGTTGGCCACTGCCTTCCATCTCTAAGTTACAGAGACGTCACATGACAGCGTGTTTTTCTTCAATCTTGTGAATGTTCAAGGAAGTGTAATAATTGAAAGTAAAACTGTGCATGCATTAATTTTATCTCAATATTCTTTATTAGAAATAATAGAGTATACTGGGCACTTAGTTTTAAATAAGAGTATATTCTGTCCAGTCATCTATCCATGCTATGAATGAATGGCACGATGGACTCAGCTAAAAACTATTTCCTTCGAGCCGAGATCTGCCAGGTCAGGGCGCGCAATGGTAATCGCCTTCTCCCTTTTACTCCTGCTCTGAAGTCCGGGCTGCCCCTAGCATAGCTACCTCCCGTGGTTAAAAGACAAAACTAACAGAAAATTAAAAATGCTAACACCTGGCATCTGTCATATGCATCCACACGCTGCCTCCCTCCGCTTCCCGGAGTGAAATGAGGCGGAGCTGACCCTCCCCAACGTCCCAGTTAAGTCATTTCACGATTCCCGGGGCGGCCAGTCGGCGGGCGGCCGGCCCCTACCTTGAGCAGGTCTATTTCTTTGATGCAGTCGGCACGGGCTTTGGCGTCCATGAGGTCGAATATCTAAGAGCAGAGCAGAGTTGGGTGAGTCAGCCCTGTCCGAGCTGCCCGCCACGCCCACTCCTCGGGACTGTCTGTGGGGACGGTGCACCCCGGAGCGTGTCTCCCAGCGCCTGTGACCGTGGAATCTGCAGGGATGGCAGCCCTGGGGCCGCTGAGTCCCCCCCGAGGCCACCGGCACCGAGCGCGCACGTTACAGAGACTCGGAAAACAGGCCTCGGCTCGCAGCCTCGACGATGCTGACCAGGAGCGACACGGCCGCCGGCCGCCCACCTCGCTCAGGCCACGGGACAGGACGCGCTGCCGTCCGCGGTGGAGGGGGATCCCACAGCCCGACTGCCCGCTGGTAACGGGGCCGCCTCCGCGGGAGGGACAGGGCAGCGGGGCCCCCCTAAGGGGTGATCTCACCCCGCACGGGGCGGGAGCGCCTACCTGCACCTTCTTCAGGGCCACGGGCACGCCGTCCAGCAGGCAGGACGCCCGGTACACCTCGCTGAACTGCCCGCGGCCGATCTTCTTCTCGATCCGGAAGTTGGCCAGCGTGTTGTAGCCCATGTCCGGCCGCAAGGCCTTCTGGAAGCGAAGGACGGAGAGGCCTCAGCCGCTTGGCACAGCCACGGGCTGGCCACCCCCGCCGGTCACTGCACGGCACGGCTCCAGCTCCGGCCGCAGCCAGGAGGGGCCGCACAGACAGGCACTGCGGCGTCCCGGTGGCCTGCCACGCCGGTGTCACGGCCCTCCACCCCCTGAGCAAGGCCTGCGGACCCTCCAGAGTTTCCATCTCCCGCTGAGCGGACAGGCCTGGGCACACACGCGTGTTAGAATGGGGCTGAACATGCACATGTCACGGGTCCCGGGACGGCGCGGGCGGTGAGCCAGCTCACAGGCGCCGCCGCTCAGAGACTCCGTGGCCGTCTCAGCTTTTCCAGTTTCCTGACTTCAAACACAGTGTCACCTCAGGAGCAGCTGTCAGTGCCGTGCCCCCTAAGGAATGCGCACGTCTGAGGGTCTGCAGCAGCGAGACAGGCCCCGCGGCCCCGGGTGCGAGCCGGGCCGGCAGCAGGTGCACGGGAGCCCACCCGCGGCGGGTGACTGGCAGGCGTTGGCATGACGGCCGCGGCCTGTGACAGCCGCCGGGACGGTGCGCTAATGTGCTCTGGCATGCGGGCCTGTAATCACGCATTTACATATGCAATGACCTACATCTGCATGTCAGGCCGCGCTGCCGGGCTGATTAAGCCGGGGCCCCCGCGCGGGCGGCGAGGCCAGAGGGCGCGCCTGGCAGCTGAGGGACGGGCTGCCACCCGGGGTTAGGCTGAGCGGCCGGGGCGCCAGGGGCTGGTGACCGCCGTCATTGCGCCCTCAGGCAGACGGGCGGACACGGACCCGCGTCGCCCGCCCATCGCCCGCACTCGGAGGCACACGGGCCGGGCGGCTGCCCACTGCAGGTGGCACGGCCAGTCCTGCCAGGAGCGGTGTCGCCGGGAGGCGGGCGGGAAGTGATCTTTGGAAAAGCACGGTCTCTCTGAACGGTGCCCGCCCCCCTCGGCGTGTTTAGCCCCGGAACAACGCTGGTCGCCGGCCCCCGGTGATTACTCTGCTCCCACTGGGCGCGGAGCCGCGCTGAGCATGGTGATGCGGGCCGCGTGGCGCTGATGGCTCTCGGGGGAAATCGGAGCCGCACGTGGGCTCCCGGCTCCCCAGGGAGAGCATCGGTCCCGGAGCCCCAGGGGACCGTTACCAAGGGCGTCACGGCCACCGCCAGCGTCTCTGACTGAGTCTCACGCTCCCGTCTACGCGGGCTGACAGACCGCTTCTATCTGATAACGTTAACGCGGTTGCGTTTTAACGGGATTTGAAAGCACAAAACGCCTTTCCATTCTACGTCCATAAAACTCATTCTGTGGCCTTGAAGGAGACATCACTCACCTCCCAGTGACACCAGTCAGAACGGGGCGCACTGTCCACACACCTCACTGTGAGCGGAGAGCACAGCCCCACATGCACACGCCAACACCACGTGTGCCAACCAAGTCTCACTAATTGTGCTTCTTCCCGTTTGAGAAGTTATCTCCCTGAGGTCTCCGGGAATATTTCAAAAGTACCCTGTTCCTACAGACTGCGTGTCCGAGTGACACCGTGACCGACATGAGAACCACGTACTCGACATGAGAGCACACGCGGTGTGACCACCCCGGCCTCTCCTGTGAGCTCAGCTGCCTCCGTCCGAATCAGAGGCGTGAGCGCCCGGGCCCGCCTTACCTGAGGCTGGAACTGGGGGGCCGGGGGCCCCTGCAGGCCTTGCGGCTTCTCATCCATCGTCCGGAGGAAGAGGACCGTCAGCGCTCTGCAAGCAAAGACCACAGGTCAGTGCCACGTCGCCAGCACCAGGCTCACCGCACCCCGGGGGCCCAGCGCGGCCCAGGGGCCGGGTGCGGCCCGGTGCCGGCGGGTGGACAGAAGCCCCCCGGGGATCGCCGGAGGAAGGCGGCGGGAGCAGAGCTGAGGCAGCCGGGCCCGGGAGCCACCGCCCTGGGGGGCGCCTGCTGCCTCCCATGAGGAGCTTCAAGCGGCAGAGGCTGCTGGACGTGCGCAGCCCCCTGTCCCCCAGCCCCCCGAGCACAACCACACGGCAACACCCACTCGCACACTCAGCCTCCTGTCCGGCCACGGCCACGGCCACGGCCACACACTGCCAAACACAACGCTGGGCCCCAGGAGCCTAACTCCAGGCGGAAAAGCTGCTCAGAGAACCTCTTCCTTCTGACGGGCTGTCTGTCCGCAGCTGACGCTCCAGGACTCAGGGGCCCGGGTAAGACCTTCCGGAACAAAGCACAGTCCTCTGTGTGCACATCAACAATGGCCACCCTCAGCGACAGCCAGGGGACCGCCTCCCTCTGAACGAAACAGCGCCACACCCAACCTGTGCTCCTCCTTAGCCCCACAGGTTCGCACCTTTATCGTCTCCAAAGCCGAGAGCATCCTCAACCCAGAGCGAGAGGCTTTTCTTGGCCCAAGCTCCCCCTCCTCCGGGCAGGACGGCGGTGGCCGGTCCGCACAGGAAGCCAAACGCCAGAGCTCCCGGGACCGGTATCACAGCCTTTCCGGACAAGGGCTCCCGATTCTGGGGCCTGGAGCCAGAGCTTCTGTCTCCAGCCCACCTGCCTGGTCAGTGCTCCCGGGAGCTGACCCTGAGGTGATTCTCAGGGCTCTGGCTCAGGATCAAGTCCAAGCTCCTGGGCCTGGAATTCATGCCCCACAAACGCCCCGATTCCTCCCTGGAGGAGGGCCTCCCGGGAGAAAGGGAGGAACGGCGACTGGGCTGGCAGGGGAGCGCTCATCGGCGCGTGAGGTCCGAGGCATAGACAGCCAGGAGCGGCCACCGGCAGCCACAGACGGCCAGGAGCGGCCCAGACAGCCAGGAGCGGCCACAGACGGCCAGGAGCGGCCACCAGCAGCCACAGACGGCCAGGAGCGGCCCAGACAGCCAGGCCCGCGGCTCAGACGGCAGCAGCGGCTCGGGTTTCAGGCCGGTCTGCAGTGGCCGCAGTGGCTGCCCGTCCGGAGCCGCATTTCACAGGCCACGGGGCAGCCCCAGGAAATGACTCACAGCCTCATGTCCGCCTCTTTCTGCCAAGCCGGCCCGTTTCTGAGCTTTGGACACCCCAGATTCCCTGCCCGGGCAGCCCTGCAGCCACTGCCGGCCCCTCCGGTGCCCTCCCGTGTCCCGCAGCAGCCAGCACCACGCGTGTGCGGGGCCCAGGCTCTGAGGACAAAGGCTGTGGAGAGGCCCGGCCGCCCCATGGGGAACGGGGTGATCAGCTGGGTCTCGTTTCACGGGAGCTTTAAAGTCACAGGCGGGCCGGGCAGCGAGAACACCGACCTGAACGCTCACCACAATCTTCAATCAGAACCATAACCTTGGGCAGCAATGAGAGCAAACACACCCCCACACTCTCTCTCCACACCCACACACACAGGACTAGAGAGACTACGTATTTAACAAGAGAAAAGCCCAGGCTAGGATGGGAGCCAGCACGGAGCGCGCCCCGGAACCCTCCTCCGACAGCGACCGCCAGACCACGCCCGCTCTCAGCCCTGGGACCCAGCGCCCGCCCAGCACGTTCAGTACAGCCAGCTGCTCAGGGCCAGAGCCGGCCGCACCCCAGCCTCCCCACGGCCGATCTGCTCCCCGCTGCCCCTTTACTCCCACAAACAGGAAAGCCTCGGAGCGCGGACCGGCACTGAGTGTGCGAACGTCACACACAGAGGCGTTTTAAAATCACTTTCACCCTGCGTGTGCGTGCGTGCATGTGTGTGTGTATGTGTGTGTGTGTGAACAAACCCAGCGTCCTAACGCCCGCTTCTCATCACTGAAGGTTTTACTGAGGCCCCTGCTTCGGCTCAGGCACGGGCCTCTGGGGCCATCGGAAAGGGGCGGCTGCTCAGCTCTGTGCTGCTGTGGGATGTTCTGTAAGTTCAGCTATGGGTTAGCCACCCTCTGCGGGCAATTTCCCAGCAGCCCTCTCTTCTGCGGGAAAGCGGGGCGTCTGCATCCAGCCCCCCAAGGCCAGGCTGTTTGCTTCGTGGTGATCTCATCAATGTCCAGAGGAGATTCTCACATAAATCGTTTAGGGCCGAGGTCAATGTGGCTCTTTGGCCCCTTGAGGGTTTAGCAGCGCCCCGCTTAGCAGTCCCCTAACTAAGGTAACAACAGTGTGTCTACCCAGATAGTTTAAGTGTAAAAAAGCTGGCTCTCCAAAGCCATTTCAGTCCTGCTGCTGTTGATACCTGGCTCTGCTGACCAAGGAGTTTGCCGACCACTGCCTTAGGGGAAGCAGGGGAACAGGAGCAGAGGCCCTTAGCCCGCTCTTGCCAGAATCCCCCTCCTAGCGCCGGCCCCTCGCACAGCATCAGGCTCCGACCGCGCGGTCCCGGCCCTGTGGTCCCGGAAGCCCAGCCGCTCCGTTTCCTGTGGGATGAGTCAGCGGAGCCGCGCACATCCAGTCCGCTGGCCGCCGGCTCCCGAGCGGCTCCAGCAGCCAAGAGCCCTCATCCTCCCCCAGCTGCCATGGTGACGACCCGGCGATACGGCAGGACAAGCCCTCCGGGGCCCGGGGCCGGTTATGGGGACCCACAGCCCAGGAGCACGGGGCTCGGTCTGCTCCGAGCCGCTGGCCGCCCGGAAGCAGAGCGGTGGCTGCGGGGAGCTGTGTCCGCACTCAGATGCCGCGATGCCCTGAGATCCGGTCCGTCTGTCTATCTCCTCCCCGCGGCCGGACTCCCGCGCTCAGTTCATGGGAAACGAGGCGACCAGGGGCACCTGTCCCCGTGCCCACAGGCCTCTCCCCCCAGGAACGCGTCCGCCCAGGGGCGGGGGCCATTTCCCAGGCCGCTCCCCCCGCACGCCCACACGGAAACCCTGCGAGCGGCAAGCCTGTTACCTATTCACACTTTTATTCTTAGTAAATGACTCCTCGCTCGTTACCTTGGCGAGAACCTGCAGGTGAGCTCTCTCAGAGGGAAAAATAACGGTTCCGTCGGGCCTCGCTGGGCTGCAGCTCGGTAAGCAGGCCACACGCCCTCAAGGATGATGATGATCAGGACGTACGTCAGGGTCAGGACTGTGGGGGCGCGCTGGGGGCTACGCCAAAGGGGCAGCGTGTGCAGTAACAGACAAAGGCCTGGCCCCGACCGGCCCGCTCCCGCCTGGCCAGCGGGCAGCTGCCTCCCCAGCCAAGGGCAGCCGAGAGCCCTCACGCTCGCCCACCGGAGCCTCGGGGGCGTCCGGAGCCATCGCTTCAGGGAATGAGAGTGAGCAGCGTCCAAGCCTTTAAGTGTCCGTTAAAGCTGCAACCGGCCGCGTCGCGTGAAACTGCAGGCCCCGCGGAATGGGGCTCCCGTGGCCGTGCCTTCCGGGATTCCCGAGCTCCGTTTCTGTGGGCCCCTCCACACGCATCTTCCCATCTGTCCGGATCTTCTCAGAACATTCCAGGGGGGGGGGAAGGGGGGGATTGGGAGTCATTCCAGATTACAGATGAGTCGACTTCAGAGGCACGCTCTGTCACGAGCCCAGGATTGCACAAGGAGAAGGTTCCAGAGCTCGGGTTTCGGAAGTCCGGGGATCAGTGTGAGTCCAGCCTATTGTGTGCGCACACACATGCACACACATGCCGAGCCCTGTGGCTGCACCTCTTCCAGGAAACGGGCGGTTCCTGGAACAGGCGGGATGGTTCTAGGAAAGGCAGAGCCTGCGTGTGCACAGCGGACGCTGGTGCGGGCCTGAGGCGGCTCAGACCACAGGGCGTGTGTGCGGCGCAGAGTGGCCACATCCTGCGGGGGCCGGAGCGCCTCCCCCCCCCCCTCCTGGCCGTGCAGGAGCCTCCATCCTCCCCCGACACCTCTGCGCCCTCCCAGGCCACGCGCTCGCTGCTCGGACCCGGACCAGCCCAGCCCCCCGAGGCTCAGAGCCGGGGCTGGCGTGGGAAGACACAGAGGCCTGGGCGAGTCTGTGTGGAAGAAGTGGCGTCAGGAGAAGTTTACGTTTAAACAATGTGGCTCTCCAAACATGTCCATCGTTGTGCTGTTGGTATTTGGCTCTGTGGACTCATGAGTTTGCCGACCACTGATCTCGGTCATCGAGTGACAGAGTGAAGCTAAAACAACGTGCCATCATCGATCAAAATACTCACTGAATGTGTAAGCTTTATTAAAACGCTGTCGTAGGGCTACACGGAAAATGTTAATGTCAGGTACGTGTAAACGCCAGTTCTCACTGAATATTCCACCTGCCCACGTACTACCCTCACGCTGACACTGGCCACCACACCATTTAACACCGAAGACTATAAGGAACACAAGAGAAGTGAACTTGTGCGTTGCTATCAGAGACTGAGAGTAAAACATGAATTCGTTCCCACAAATGAACCCATCAGTGAGCACTCTTCCTGTACAATGACTACCTTTCCATGTACCTGTGTGTGAATAACAAGCCATGCCTTCGGAATAGGGACCTGCCCTCCCCCTCGCCCCCACCCTCCCCCCCCCCTGGGTGACAGCATGCAAACCTCCTTATTTGACTGCAGGCCCGCAGGCAGACAGGACAGACAATGGAAGCTTTGCAGAGCCTCACTGATAGAAGTTTAACCACTTTTCACAAGCGTATCTATTTGATTTTCCTAATCATAACGTAATATCGTTACAACCACGACAAAAACTAGAGCAATTTTTCAAGTAAATATGAGAATGAGGAATTATTTTAACCATGGGGGGGGGGGGGGAATAATCACGTGCCTGCGAGAAAGGAATGTTAATGCTGC